CCGCAGGCGGGGGCATCCCCAGGGGTAGCTGGCCCCAGCCGCCGGGGGCTCTTCAAATCCCTGCCCCTGACTGGCATTCTCCCGCCTTCCAAAAAGAGCAGTCAGCCCCCATCGTGCCCTCAAATCCCCTCGACACCTGGTGGCTGGGGCTTACTCCCGCCTGCAGGAGCCTGGGTCTCTGCCCCGCAGCCACCAGGGCCAAGCGCCTGCTTTTAACTGAAGTAGGGGCTAGGAGTCTCCTGATCCAGGGACTGGGGCCTGAGGAGAAACACTGACTGTCACAAATGCAGGTGTATGTATATTGGGGAACCAAGACAAAAAGCATTTGAGATCCCTGGGCATCTTAAGGGAAGAGTCAGTCACTATCAATGAAAAGTCAAAACCTTCCCTATGGCCCAGCTATACAGGCATTTGTATGCAGCCATGATAGTCTGAGGCAATGTGGCAAAATGGCCTTGTTTTATTTCTTGCACAAAGAATCATCAGTCACATCTTGTCCTATTAAATATAATTGTTCTGTTGCAACCTGCTGTATCCACCTATGTTTTCCAAGGTAGCAGAGTTCCCGGCCTCCAGCATCCTGGAAGGTAAATGCAATAGCTGTGATATTTATTCAGATTGTATTAATGTTTCAATCTAGATTAAAAATAATTATAGTTGTCTTGGATAGGAGCGGTATTATGTGAGCTAAAAACTGGATCAGAACTTTAAACAAAAGGTAAGTGATTAACGTACTGAGTAGATGAAGGTTCTATCTAATCATGGTAAAAATCTCAAAGGGGGTAGTCCTGTTAGTCTGTAAATTTAGAAATGACAAACAGTCCTGTGGCACCTTAGAGACTAACAAATATATCTTAGCATGAGCTTTCGTGGGTAAAACACACAACATCTGATAAATTGGAGTAGAAATTACAGAATCCAGAGTATGTATAACCACAAAAGCAGTTACCTGTCAATTGCAGAACCAGTGTTAATTATGCTGATTGGGTCAGGCTGGATGTGTCCCATTCATAGCCTTCGATGTGTAAATGTGACTATCAAAGGTGGAGAAATTGTCTTTGTGGTGCATTAAACAATTAATATCTTTATTCAAACCAGTTGATAGTGTTGAATTTGTAAATGAATTCTAGTTCAGCAGTCGCTTTCTGTAATTGGGTGGTAAAATTCCTTTTTAGTCGAATGGCTACTTTTAAATCCATTATTGAATGTCCAGGAGGTTAAAATGTTCCCCTACAAGTTTATGTGTGTTAACATTCCTGATGACTGATTGGTCCATTTATCCTTTGTCACCTTGCAAAGACTGTCTCTTTTGGCCAATATCATGGCAAAAGGGCACTGCTGGAACTTGATGGCAGATATCACATTAGAGGTGTATGAGTCCCTGATGTAGTGGCTTCTTGCCCTGAATGTTGTAGTTAGGTCAATTCATCCTCTGGTATAGATGCTGCTATGTCAACACAAACTATTGCCTCTTGGAGAGAGAGATTAATTACATCAATGGGGGAAAACTGATGTATGAAGCATCTATACTACAGCTACATACAGCTATACTAAGTGGCACAGACATGCCTATAGTTAATTCTTTATCACTTCTTATTCAAAGAGGTAGTAAACAGCATATTAATGGAATTTACAATGATGCTAAATTTGAAGAAGTTGCAAACCCCAGTGAGGACAGAGAAATACCACCAGGAGATCTAGAGAGATTAGAGACCTAGAGAGCAAGCGGAAAGTGCACCGCCACTCCCACTGCATCCAAGCTGGCTTCTTGCCAGAGCACTGCAGTGGGGCATAATGGTTTACTTTCACCTCTGGTGAGATCTATTAGCTTTTGAAATAGTTTCCCAATGGAAGTGGTGGAAACCCATCATTTGGAACATTTAAAATAAAACTGGATAAAACACTAGAAAACTGTATTGTAGGGAACAGTCCTGCACTGGTCTTGGAGATGGGTTGGATAACTTAGTAGGACTTTTTCATGTCTGCCCTTTGATGATTATCTATGTTCTTTCAATTGTCAGTGGAGTTTGCAGAAAAAAGGAGATGAGAATCTATTAGAATTATTTCTTTGTTAGAAAAGTCTAAGGGTACGTCTAGACTACATGCCTCTGGCGACAGAGGCATGTAGATTAGGCTACCCGACAGAGTAAAATGAAGCGGCGATTTAAATAATCGCCGCTTCATTTAAATTTACATGGCTGCCGCGTTGAGCCGACAAACAGCTGATCAGCTGTTTGTCGGCTCAACGCGGCAGCCATGTAAATTTAAATGAAGCGGCGATTATTTAAATCGCCGCTTCATTTTACTCTGTCGGGTAGCCTAATCTACATGCCTCTGTCGCCAGAGGCATGTAGTCTAGACGTACCCTAACCTACCTTTGTCTTCAATGGGATTACACAGATTGTAGGGCAGAACCTAGCCCCAGTTTTTAGGTATTTATAAGCACTCATCACCATACTAAGTGCTAATCACAGCAATTTATAATCACATAAGATTATCCATACAAGACAAACATCAAGATGTTAAACCTAATTCTTCTACACTGCACTAGCAGCCTCCCCCATTGATTAGTAAAAACATATGAAAAAAGTTACCATTTCTGATCCCATTTTGGGAACCTAAAATTTCATCCAGTTTGGGGAACCAGAAACTCTGAAAAGTTAATGATTGATAGAAAACTACAAGGATGAAATTTGGCCTGCTGCTATTCTGGTTGCCCTCTTCCCCATCAAGATGAATCAAACACTGGTAGAACTCTGACTTCTTGGATCCTTATTCAGTGTTTTTGTGTTCCCAGGCCTCAGAGAGCATCTTTGTTGACTCACTCAGAAATGTCATATTTTAATATTAGATTTTACATTTAAATTTAAGTTTTCATTGCCCTGATAGACTCTTTTATATAATGTCTTAATTGCATTCAGTATTAGTTTCAATACACTTTTTAGAAATACTGTACTGATTACTATTGTTTTTGTAGGTTTTTTCACAACCCTAGTTTTATAATTTCCCCCACTTTTGTCAGCTTTGTCCACCTGTGGCATCATGTCTGACATGTATGTTATAAGCTCTCTAGAGAAAATACTCTTTTTTTGTTATTGATATATTATATAATGCTTAGCAAAATGGGGCCCAGAGACCAATAATAATAAGCCAGATCTTCAGCCAGGGAGCAATGTCTACAGGCATCAACTGAGGATCTGATCCAATAAACGTTGGACAGCCCCTTGAGGTTTTTCAAAGTTGGATACAATTTTAATCTATCGGAATTAAATAGAAGAACCAACAGCAGTCATGAGATATA